CCAGTGTGACTGTGACATCCTGCCTGTCCTTTTCTGGGTAAGTGTCCCTGGGGAGGGATGGAGGGGGATGCTGGGGCTCCTGGAGGGGATGGAGGAGAGATTTCGTTTCCCGGCGGCACCTAAAACATCAGCACAATGATGCATCCGCCTCCTTTGTAATAAATTTTAAAGCGGAAAAGGCCAAGTGCTGACTAAGCCAGGCCTGTGCCCTGTTCCTGTAGGGCTTGGGAAATGCCTCCTTTCCCTGCTTCAAATTAGAGAAAATGACAGGGGGGTGAAGCAGGGCCTCCTGCACATCCCAGATCAAGGCAAATTCTTGGGAAATGGGGAAAGGCAGGCAGGTGCAAGGGGAGCTGTCAGCCCGTGTCTAACCTCTCCCTCCACTTCTTGCAGGTCCAACGCCTCCGTCACTGAACGTGAGTATCCCCTGGGTGCCATGGCATGGGAATGGGATGGGGGCTGCTTGCTAAGTGCCTGACAGGCAGCCAGGGTGCCATTTTTGGGCTCAGACTGTTGTGGAGTTCAGAGGCTCCCCTTTGGCTTTGCTTGGTGAAAAGTCCAGGTCTGTTCCTGCATTTTGAAGCAGAAATTGGATTTTTTGCTAGGAGGGTGGAAATCATCCCTTTTGGCTCAGTAAGGGTGAGGTTTTGCCAATGGGTGTTTGACAAAGACCCCAAGCCAGAGCAGCAATAACAGTGAGGGGATGTGATGCTGCATCTCAGGTGTCCTCTCACTAAGAGAAGGATAATACTGGATGATGCATTTCCAGTTGGGGAGAGGGGAATGAGGATGCAATATTTTGTGATGGCTTGTGGGGCTCACGTCCATGATGTGATGACAAAACCAGGAAAGGTGAGTTTTGTGTCCCTGCCTTGCAGAGTTTGATGGAGAATTGGTCGGATGACAGCGGGAACTGTTGTTATCACCGGGGGAATCCTAGCGACGGTGATCCTACTGTGCATCATCGCTGTGCTCTGCTACTGTAGGCTACAGGTGAGTGTCCTCTGCCTCGCCACCCCCACCTTGCACTGGAACGGGCTCCCCAGGGCACTGGTGACAGCCCCAAGCCTCCCAGGGCTTAAGAAGTACTTGGACGGAGCTCCAAGTACCAATGCTCTGAGGTACATGGTGTAATTTTTGGGCTGTCCTGTGCAGGGCCAGGAGTTGGACTCTGTCCTTCCAGCTCGAGATATTTTAGGATTCTGTGCTCCCCGAGCCAAGGTGCTGCTGCAGGAAGGGTCTGGATGTTTTTTGGGGGTTTTTTTTGCCTATGATGGCAGGGAGTTGAAACCTCCTATCCCCCGAGGGATGCTGCAGTGATGTCCTTCCCTCCCCTAGGTGTGGGGGGTACTGCCCTGAGGCTTTCGAGGCTCTGCAGCACTTGCTAATTGAGGTGCAGGCTTGGCTGGGTTTGCAATACCAGATGGAGATTTTTATATAATTTTTTTTCCCCTTGTAAATTAACCGAGGAGGCTTTCAACAACGGCTAGCTACAGCCTCCTGCTCTTTAAAAGTTAATGTGAAGTCTGTGCCATGCAGCAATGCCCGTGTGATGAAAAGCACAGCGCTTACTTGGAGCAGTTTGCAGCCGGCGGGATGAAATACCTTCCCCTTGCAAACCTCACAGGGGGATGAGGGTGAGTTCCCCAGCAGGTGCCTACTGCAGCACGCTCAGATCCAGGTTTTGTTGGGCTTCTGCCGCTTCCCAGGACGCAGGAATGATGGAGCAGGTCAGCGAGAGGCCCCGGAGGGTTCCTCCGGCAGGGGGATGAGGCCAGCAGGGATGCGGCAGGGCCGCCCCACCGGCTGCTCCGCTTCCCCTCACACAAGCCCTTCCCTCTCCTGCAGTACTACTGCTGCAAGAAAAATGACTCCGATGAGGAAGAGGAGGAGGAAGAGGAGGAGGAGGAGGAGGAAGAGCCCGACCTGCCCGCGCACTCGCACCTCGTCATGTGCAACGCCTGCAGCTCCCGCATGGTGGACGGGCAGGGCAGCCCCGCGCCGCCGCCCGGCGAGCTCAACCAGCACGGGGCTCACACCTACTGCCCGACGTGCTCTCCCTACGGCTCCCCCTTTTACATCCGGACTGCCGACATGGTGCGCAACGGCGGCGAGAGGGTCGCCTACACCCCCGCGTGCTACAAGGAGATGGGGCCGCCCCTCAACATGGCCTCCCTGCAAAGCTACACGGTGAGCCGCCACGGCCTCCTCCGCGACAGCTTCCCGAACCCGCGGGCCATCAGCACGGAGGTGTAGTCACCATTGCCACTAGCACAGGGTGTCCCCGGCTGGCACCGCTCCAGGGAAGGGGCTTTTCACTTGGTTTTGAGGAGAGGAGCCCGCAGCCCAGCCCGAGGCCAGCGCGGCCCTGCTGAGGCGCCCAGCACGGCCGGGCCAGAAGGCGAGTGAGACCTCAAAGGGCAACGCTGAACCGGCCACCTCCGAACCCATCATAAGTGTCATTATTATCTACTCTCTCTCCCAAAGGGACTTGTCTAACGAGGGCTATGTACAGTACAACCTAATCTAATTACCCCCGGCTCCCTGAGCCCAGTGAGGCCTTCGGTGTCCCCACGCAGCCAGCTGAGGTGATGGCACACGGAGCAATGGGCTGATCATCCAGGGCCAGCTGCCATCCCCGTGAATCCCAGTGCCCAGCAGGGCATGGCAGCACTCCTCAGCCGTGGGGAAGTGAAGAAGGGAAGATCCAGGTCGTCCTGCTCCCCTCGTGCTGCGTCAGCTGCCGCTAGCAGTTTGCTTTTCTGTTCAAGTGTAAGATAGGGCACCGTCTCCCACCTGCTTCGGTCTTTGCACGTGCTGAAGAAGTTCGGGACATGAATTTAGGTCACTGCCGGGGGAGGCAAAGTTCCTCGCAAAAGAGCTCACCCACGCCAACAGGCACAGGCCAGTCCTTCTGCGGCCTAAGCCCCCACCTCTTCTACTCTTCACAAGCTTTCTTAGGAACAATTTTAACTTGGACCCATGAATATGGCAAGATTTTACTTATGGGAAGAATTGAATTCCTAAATAACCACAGTTTTGGTCACCTTCAGCTTTCAAAGCCCCACCCTGACAGCTCCGACAGCCAGAGGAAGGTTGGCTTTAGGATGGATTTTGCTTTTGACAGCAACAGCAGAGCCCACTGGCTCATGCCTTCTTTGCAGGGCACTCCCACTGGAGAATGATGTTCAGGTGGTTGGGGTCCCCCTGCTTTTGCTTCTCGAAGAAGAGGGTGCAAGACCCGAATGTGTCTTGAACATGTTGTGAATGTGGGTTCACAGGCACTGCAGCCGGCAGTGACAGCCAGTGACTCTGCCTTTCTGCAAAAATGAATGTGGGAAAGTTTCTTCTTCCTCCATAAATCAAATTAGGTGAAAAATTACTAAAGGGACATCTCCATCATTCCCAGGCACTTCCATAGCAACCAGTGCAGGACTGCTCTGCTGAGCACTTCCCATTCACGGCAGGGAGGAGGGACGGGGACAGCAGTGATCCCTGCGGATGCTGTTGGAGGCAGTGACAGGAAACCCTTGCCATGCCTTTGCAATATAGGGTAGGACTGCTCAGAAACATGAGTGGTGGGATTTTATTTTCACCACTGCAATTTAGAAATGATCTCACTGCTCACAAAAGGATTTGGACTTGACCTCCCCACTCACACACAGAAAAAGTAGGTCTCAGCACAGAGGCACACAGTGCACCAGCCTCAAATATCCACTTTACCAGGCTGATGTACACATTGGACCTGTCCATGCCTTGGCAGTTCTCTGAAGAAAGCAGCCAAAACATCACAAAACATGGTGATGGTCCTTGTAACCAAACACCTTGCCCCAGCCTGCATTTTACACACACTTCTGAGCAAATGTTATGCACCATCTCCCCCACCTCCAGCCCAAAAAGACATTGCATTTCCATTATCTGGAGACTCTGTCTGGCTGTATTGCTTTCAGAGTCTCTGTCCATTCTCCAAATAGTGATAGCAGGTTTTAATGTCCTCTGACACTAAGGGCAGGCAGGAGGGAAGATGAAAGTTACCAGCAGCAAAGCTCTCTGGATCCCACTGGTCAATAATCTGCAGCTCCTGCCTCCCATCTAGCCAGTGCTCCTCCCTGAAAACATGGTCTGTAACTGGAAGAAAATCTTGGCTAACTTGATAAATCCCATTCTTTGCCACTAGAGCATCTGCTCAGCTAGGTCTCATCGTGCTGGGAGCCAGGAGAAGTTAATGTGTCCCAGCATGGTCCCTGCCAGACAGCCCCGTGGTCTCTGGATGCCGTCCCCTTGGCGGGCACAGAGCACATGGACACGGCGGCTCCCGGCATCCAACTCTACCTCTTGGCACACAGAAAGGCTTTCCAGCACCATGGCAGTGCCATGACCTCCAGAGGGTGGGGGTAACACACTTCTGGGGGTCACCCTTGTGGTTGAAGGAAGGCCACTCCACTGTCATCTTCGTCACAAGCAAATTAAGCGTGACCTGTCACGGGCTAACAGGCGCCAAGGCTGGGGAGGCAGTTCCAGAGCAGCCAGATGGCCAAGATGAGGGTTGGCCTTGCAGCCAACACACACCCTGGGTCTGGCATGGCTACAGGGAAATGGGTGAGTCTGGCAGGGCTGAAAACACGGGGGATGCAGCTGAGAATTAGAGGGTTTGGGAGCTGGTGGAAGAACAGGATGGGGTAGGGGCAGGGATCCCAGGTTTTTTTCCACTTCAGATTCCTCCTGTTACTATTCTCTGTCTTTGTTGCTCAGCTATGGGTCCAAATTCAATGTCAGAAATAAATGAGGACTTTGAAATACAAACCAGAAGTGTTTTCTGTTCTTTTGGCAGGCAACACCAAAAGGGCTTTATCCAGTGCTGCCTGGAAGCTCTACTGGTGCAAGGGTTTTTCCTCCCCACCCTTCCTGCTCCTGCTCCTCTTGTGTGCCCTGCTCCTCCCTTAGCTCTGGCCTAGGCACATGTATCCCAAATCCACAGTTTTATAGTTTATCTCTTTATTGTGAGAATTTTTCGGTGTGTTTTGGCAGTTGCCCTTGTAGTAGGAAGCCTGCAGGGCAGAGCAGAGGGATGCTGCCGTCCCTGCCCTGCTGCAGGCTGGCCTTGGTGCCCTTGGACACGGTGACAGCAGGGACAGGCTCTCCCAACTCACTCCTCAGTAGCTTTCTAGGCACTGATGGTTTGTCTTGTGTAAAACCCTCTCGGTGGAGAGGGAACAGTGATGACTAAGTCATAAAAATCCTTCCTCGCTGAGCAGGCTGCTCTACAGGGACTGGCTCCACATCAGGCCAAGTGGGGTGGCTTCAGGTGGAAAGTCTGGCTTGAGGGGGCTGCTGCCCCTGGACTTGGAAGGAAAGTAGGGCCTGGCAGTGTTCAGGATGACTTGAGGCGACAGGACCAGCAGCAGGCCTTCCTGTAGTACCAGTGTGAGCACAGCTTCACCTTCAGCACCAGCACGCAGTTGGCCGTCGCTTTGTCTTCACAGGCATCTTCTGGGGAGCAGAAGCACACACAGAAGGGGTTACAAAGGAGATGTGCTTCCCCAGCACGGACATCAGGGACAAAGCCATGGGCTCCTCCACCTCCCTGCCCTCCCAGACGTACCTGGTGCCTCCGTGGGGCATGGCTGGAGTTGGCACATCTGCCTGGCCTCTGGCTTGGCCGCGGGGTCACAGCCCTGAGCCAGCGCCTCCCCCTGGTAGCACTTCACCTCCCGCAGGCGCACGCCAGCACCGCACGTCTTGCTGCACTGCCAGGGTCAAGAAACAGCAGAGAGAGCATCAGAGGCATTTTCTGGTTTTCTACAGCTTCCAAGTTCTTTGCCCTACTGAGGTCTCCCAATCCCTGCTTTGGATGCTGTTCTCGAGGAAGTTTGGGTCAGATGCCACACTGATCTCAAACTTACTCTTCCTTTTTCTTTTTGCTGGAGGAAAGCATCCCTGAGTTGGGGTTGGGGGGGGCAGAACAAGAGAGAGTTTGCTTTTTATCTCTTTGCTGCAGCTCAGAATTGAATGCAGCTCCATTTTTGTTTGGAGCATTGATGCTGTGACAGAAAATGGAGAAAATGGCTGCTATAAGCTAGACACAGCTCCCCAGTCTTCCCATACCCTAAATGTTTACCAGTTACTATTAAGGGAAAGAGGGAAAGACAAAACATGGACTTCTGGAAGTAGAGGAGACATTATTATCCTGAATGCTTGGAGTGTGGTGGATGCTCTTCTTGAGGCAATAACCCCCATGCTGCAAGATTTTCTCCAGCCTGTGTGTGCCAGTCTCTCATCAAGCTGCCTGTTCTGCAGAAGAGCAGAACTTGGGGTCCCATCGAGACTTGACAGATCCATGGCAGAGCAGAACTTGGGGTCCCATCCAGACTAAGATCCTTGGCAGAGCAGGCCACCAGAGAGCCTCAGCACAGGTCCTGCTCCACCAACCAAGGCTCCGAGGACCCCCCTTCCCCTTCCCCACCACCCCCAGCCCTACCTGGGACCAGGAGGTGGTGAACCACGTTGAACATGGCCTCCTGAAGCAGACAGCTTGTTCCTCAGGCTTTGGAGAGGCCTCACAGCGTTTCTCAGGGTACTCCCTGTACAGCCCATTCTCCAGACCCACGCACAGCACTAGCCGGGTCTTCACCCCTCGCCCACAGCTGGCGTCACACTGTGAGGGAACAGAGCAGCCTGGTGACAAATGGTGCTCCAGCTTCAGGCAACAGGGCATTCTGCTCAGAAGGAAGGCTTAATGCCTGTGCTAACACCAGTCTGACAGAGGAAGTGCTGCCCAGGCCACAGGAGCAGGGACAGATGCTGGTAATTAGTGTTCAGCTGAGCTCACCTTGGCTGGCCTCGAGAGCAGCTACCACAGGGCGCCTGGAGCAGAGCTAAGACTGCAAGAGGCTGTTCCTGTCTTATTTTATGTGTAGCTCTGCTCTGAAAATCCAGATAGCAAATGCATGTAGCAACCTACATCTTGGAGTCCTGCCAAGCTTTCTGTGGGCCCAAGGGGACCCAAGTGGTGCAGTGCAGGTGATGTGCACAGACAAGCACTGCTGAACCCAGAGCTGTGCAGGCTGAGCTGGGAGGGCTCTCTCCCTCAGGACACCACCAGGAAAAGCAGCAGGAGGCAGGATCTGCTCCCTGATGCCCATGCAGGCAGTTGCCAATTTGAGATTTCACTGCTTTGAGTCTTTTTTTCACCACAGCAAGGCCAGCACAACTGGCTTGCAGCTGCCCTTAGTCATCCTGAAAGCTCAGAGCTCATCAGTGGAGAAACACAGCAAAGAAGCTGGCATGAGCAAAGGTGGAGAGCTCAGCTGGTCTTTCAGAGCTCTCATGAGTTTCATGAGAGAGAGCCAGGTCACAGCTGAAAATGGCACTTCAGGACTGTGTGTGACCCACAGGGAGGGCTACAGAACCACCAGGTTTAACCAGCCTGTGCTTGTTACTGGTGCTGGAGGAGGCTCAGCTGAATGCAGTCAGCAGCTATAAAGGGAGCAAAGTGAGAAGAGAGGCTTAGCCATGATTGGAGGGAGGAGAGCTTGGCTGCTTCCCACATTTCCTAGAAACCTTCTTCCTTAGTGCTATGTGGATCCCTGTTTTGCTCAAAATTTCAAAGAAAAAGCCCAAGCCTCACAACTGACTCAGTGTGTTTCATTGGATACTCTGGGATTTGGATCAGCATGTTTGGGGAAGCATGAAGTCTTTTGGCCTTGAGCAACAGAAAGAGAGTAAAAAGATGTGCAGAGCCTGAGTGTTGAGGGGAACAGAGCACCTGGACCACGTTCACTGGAGTGTAATCCCTGAAGCAAGTACCCTGTTATGGTCTGGATGTGAGTTCCAGCACAGGGATCTGCGCTGTGGTTCAGGTTTACCTCCAGCTACTACTTATCAGAGACTAAGCCGGTTTTGTTTAGAATTTCTCTTTGCTGATGAGAAACTCGTGTCCTCTGGGGGTGAGTGAACACAGCTTTACTGAGCAGCCAGGTGGGAGCAGTTTCCTCAAGGTATTGCTGCCCTCCCGTGGAGCTCCTTGGGAAGGCAGCAAATGCCACGAACTTCGGGGTTTTTGCAGAGTATGGCAGGGACAAGCTGGGATATTCACTGCTCCTTCCCTCTTTCTCAAAGGAGCTGGGAGAAGGATACAGATCCATGCCTGGAGGTACAGCCGTGCTCTGCCAAGGGAACCAAGCTCCCACCGCATCCTGTGGGATACGGGGTGGAAAGGAGCTCTGAGGACACAGAGCTTGGCTTTACCTGCTCCCACTCCTGCTCCAGCCAGTGTGCAGGGCAGTTCTTGTCTCCACACGGGTGGACAGCCAGGGGCTTGGTGGCCGGGTCACACTGCGAGCTGGAGATCACCTTGCCCTCCAGGTTGCGACACGCGATGAAGCGGCTCATGCGCCCCTCGCCACACGAACCTGAGCACTTGGAGAGCAAAAGGCATTTAGACACATCAGAAAGCAGGGAATTGGACAGGGCAGGGTTGGGGGTGCCTGCAGAGTTGAGTCCAGCCCTAACACTGGGACTGTTGCACTGGATCCCAAGGGGCTTCAGATGTTCATGTAGAAAGGCTCTTCCATTCTCCAGGTACCGTGAGCTTCCCAAATTATTGTCTAGAGCCCAGCTCACAGTTAACCAAAATACACAGCAAGGAGAGCGAAAACCAAGGGTTATTTTAGTTTTTGTAGCTTCGCCCTGCCCGAGGAGAGCCGACAGAGATGTGCATCAGGTCTGCCCAGGCGCTCCCCGCCTGCAGCCCAGCGCTGGGTGCCAGGCCGCGGCCCGGCCGCACTCACCGGGCCCCAGTCGGAGGCGGTCCAGCGGCGGTCGCAGGGCGGGCCCGTGCACTCCCTCTCGCTGCTGGGCCTGCGGGACTCATCGCACAGCGGAGCTTCCACGGAGCAGCGCACCTCGCGTTTCATGGTCCCGGCCGCGCCGCACCGCGCCGAGCACTGCAAGGAACACAGAGAGTCAGCACGGAGCAAGGTGGGGAAGCGGCTGTGCCGCCTCCTGTTTTCCTCTTGCTGCTCTAGGAGGGAGGGGAAGGGCCCCAGGGACAGAAAAAAGTGTCTGCCTCTGTGTCCACCTCTACCTTTGCTGCTTATTTTTTTTGGGACTCAGAGCTCCCACACATCAATGGGCTGATGCCCAAACTGCTGTTTAAAGTCACTGGGCCACAACCAGAGCAGTCAGTCAAAGGGACTGCAGTGGACTTTTAGTTTTTTTGTATCTCCATGGTAGTTTCCCAATTGCCCCTCAGTTTGGATCCTCCAGAAGAGGAAGCTTCTTGCTGGCAGGGCTTTCACTTGGTCACTGTCCTGCTTTAGAAGTGACCTTAGAAAAAATGTTTTGCAATGGACTTTGTCTGCAAAGTCCAGCTACAGATAAAGGCATTCCTTGTGGAGAACCAGGGTGCAGTTGGCCAGGGGCTTCCTCAGCACCCAACACCTTCCAGCCCCCCCCAGCCCTGGCTGCTCAGCTCTGGGAGCAAAGCCTACCTCGGACCACTCTGAGAGCTCCCACTGGGGCCCACAGGCCTTGTTCTTGCAGGCTTTCCTCTCCATGGGCCTGGCCAGCCCCGCTGCCTCACACAGATCATCGTACACGGAGCTGTCGAAGCCCGGTGCCAGCATCTTCCAGCAGCGCACGGTGCGGTACTGGGAGCCCTCGCCGCAGGTCCGCGAGCACTCGCTCCACCGGCTGGTCTCCCACCTCCACGAGCAGAGGAAGCACAAAGGAACACCCAGGTAAGGGGGACCAGGGGCATGGGGTGGCAGAAACACAGGTTACACACCTAGGGCTCCCTCACACAGCAGCTGCTGCTGTGGCTTTGCTCATCACGTCTGAGTAAATGTGGTGCTGGCCTTTAACAGGGTCCCAAATTCTTCCCCTCTTTTTGTTTACAAGGGGATATGAGGTCTTGTTAGTTTAAGGAGACCTTTCAGCCCAAAAATGGCTGTATGCCTTGAGCAGAAGGTGATCCTTAGAAAGGTATCTCCCTGTGGACAGCTGATGTCACTCCCACTCACCTAGGCTGGCAGTCTCTCCCTGTGCAAAATTCATGGGTGGGTTCTGGTCGGGTCAGGGCGTCACAGTAGGATTCATCCACTTCCACTCCATCGTAGCGCACACACATGGCATAGGAGGTGCTGATACCTGCTGGGCCAGCAACACCCTCAGCCGTGCTCCATCAGAGCCAAGAGCCTCCTCCCAGCAGCACTGAATACCTGGAGTGCTCACTGCATCTGAAACTCTCCCTGTCATATAAAGAAACACCAGGATTCTCTCCCTCAGCAGCCTAAAAGCACCTCACTTGATGAAGCCAAACCTACCTGAAGTGCAGGTGGAGCTGCAGGGGGCATAAGCTGAGACTTTCCAGCGATACATGTCAGCCAGGCTGATGTCATCGTGGCCCACAGGGCTCACATCAAACTCATTGCTGTGGAAAAAGGAGGTGGTGTGAGCTAAAAATGAAAAAAATTGCTGCAAACATGAAATATAGGGAAATTCCTCCTTGCTGTCTTTGAAGGTGGAAAGAAAGCCAGTGTTTCTGCTTTCCATTTCCCCCACCTTGGGCATGGCAAATCACTGATGAACAGAGAGTGCAAAGCCTTGATCCACCTTCTGAATTCAGCTAGCAAGGAGGAAGCATCATTCATAGTGAGTCTTTGCTATATCATGGCTTGCCAACCATGGGGTGCCCTCAGCCTCAGCTTGTACCTCACCTTGAGGTATGATTTGAGTTGGAAAGAGAAGCTCAAGCAAGGTTCCTCTCATATAATGTGGTGGAGAGAGTTCATATGTGCCTTGTCAGAAATATTTAAAAGCTGGTCCTCAGTCTCCTGACAGATGTTTACAGAAGCTTATGTGCCCAGAAAAATGGGACAGAAAGGGACATGATGGATATGTGGCATGCTGTAGATTCTTGGCTTTGTTTACAGCCACACCAGGTCCTTCAGCACCCTTTAAATGGACCCTGAAATATATTCCAGGAGCTCTGTGTCAGGCCAGTTGTAACAATCAGTCTGGAGGAAGCACCTACAGCAGCTTCCGTGGATAGACACTGGTGAGTGGGGACATCAAGGACAGCAGGGGACTGGCTTGCCCTCCCTCCCCAGCCAACCATGCCCAGGAAATCAGGTGCCACCTTTCAGTGCCAGGGGCTCGCAGGGGCTCTGCCTGGCTGCTGTTGGCGGTGGGGCTGGCCCCGAGCAGAGGGCTCTGCGCAGATGCCATCGTGCTGGAGTTGGCTGCTTCCCCCTGGCTCCCAGCAAGCACCTCCACCTTCAGCTCCTCCAGCGAGTTCTTTCGAGCCAGGGCTCTGTGGAGGCCCTGTGGCCAGTGGGGCCAGAGCCTGGCCGTGGCGTTCCTGGGGGCCAGCCTGGCTGCCAGGGGCTGCAGCTCCCTGCAGAAGGCGGCGTTGTGGGGGTCTCGGTGGCAGAGGCGCCTGAAGAGACGGAGCCTGGAGGACGTCCCACGGCTCTTCTCCGACAGCTCGGGCCTCCTCATGCTGTAGGGCACAGCTGTGCTGATGGAAATTTGGTTGAACCTGAGAGCTGGAATTAAGATACAAGCTTTAACTATATGGGATGGCTTGTACTTTAGGCAAAAAACATTCAGTGTTCAGCCTAAAAATCAAAAGATTTCTACCAGGGAGCATCAGCAGGCTTTAATTACCTCAGCCAAGCCCTTACTCTGTCCACCCACTACTCTGGAGCCCCATTTAAGCTCCAGTCTGGGCCTTCGGTATTGGGCTGCACAGCGCTGCATGTGTTCTTATCCTGAATTGTTGTATGGCTCTCCTAGATCAGTCTCAGATTTGACTTGTCCAGTGATGATCACTGGACTGTTGCCAGGCCCTGCTGCTGTCACTGCCTACCTGCCAAGCTCAGGCCCCAAGTGAGTGCTCTGCCTAATCCACATTACAGGATCACAGAACCACAGAATGAACCAGATTGGAAAAGACCTTTGAGATCATCAAGTCCAACCTATGACCTAACACCTCCTCCCTGTGGCCTTCCTCTCTCAGCCTCCCCTTTCCTCACAGAGCTACTGGCCTTTGGCAGACCTGAGCTCCTCCTGCTCCCTGACAGTTTCCATCCCACTATTTACCATCCTTCCCTCCTGTTCACCCTGATGCTAAAGGCACCTCAGATTTCAAGAAGACCACTGCAGAATGTCTGCTTCCACTCAATACAACGGGGGAAGGACAAACAAAGCAACCAACCCAACTCTGTTTCTCCACCAACTGCTGCTGCTTCCTCCTCCTCTTCCTCTCCTGCTGTGTTTGCATGGTAGACCTGTCTGATCTGAAAGTCGTACTTCTCCTTCTCTTCACTTTGTTCCCAGCCCCAGTCCTGGGTCTGACTAGTGGAGTTGGTCTGGAAGAAGTGTGGGGGACCAAAGTCTAAATCTTCTTGCCCTTCCCTTAGAGGAAGCTGTTCACTGGTGTCTTCTGGTGACAGGGAGAGCCACGTGGCATTGAAGTCTGTCTGGGCAGCTCTGGAGTTGGCTGGAATGGGATGGCTCTGGCTGGTCCCTGGCAGGTGGTGGTAGAGAGGCCTGGCAAGAGCAGGGGCTGCAGTTCGGAGGGGCGGTGTCCGTGGCACTGTGTAGTCGTAAGTTATGTGAGGCATTTTCCCATTAAAGTTATAGTACTGGAGGAAATGGGGAAAGAAAACAAAACTGTTTTTATTTTAAGGGTATGAATTTCCCAAAAGCCTTTTCTAGCCACATCTGTTTGGTGATGGTTGTTAAGAGAAGACAGCATCCTCATAAATCCAAAAAGAAAGCTCCCACCCACCTGCCTGGCTTCCTCAACCCACCTACACCCAGGTTTGGCTTGGGAACAAGGTTATACCCCTGTTATCTGAGGGAAGCAGGAAACCCTAAGGTTGGTTCCCCACATACCATGGCATTCAGAGACTGGTTGGTGGGCCCATGAGCTATGATGTACTCCAGCCCATCCGAGTTCAGGCTCGAGGGCCGCCGGTACTTGAAGACGGTGCCGGCCACCCTGAAGTTCTGAGGGTTGTCAATGGCAGAGTTGCCGTTGAAGAAGAAATGTCCAGATTCATCAGCAAGTGCTTCAAAGAGAGAGAAAACAGACAAATGGGACATTCTGCAGAGCTCTGGCACTAAGGAGAGCAAAGAGCCCATGAATGAGGAAAGCCCAGCAGAAACAGAACCCCAGGCCCTGCCCATAGCCAGCTTGGGTTCCAAAGATCTCTCCTGGCACTGGAGATGTGGTGGCCTTGGTTTTTGGAGAGATGAAGCACCCATGTAGCCGCCCTGGAGGAAATGCTCTCTCACAGCATAGGTGGGAGTGCAGACAGCCTCCTCCCAGCTCCCAGGCAGCTGAACTGGGGTCTCCACACCCATCAGCTCCTGTGCTCACCCAGGATGTTTTCTGTTTTCCTGCGCTCAATGATGAGGATGTCTGTGGCACCAGCAGGGATGTTGGTGATGAACACATAACCTGAGGAACAGAACAGAGCATGAGGAGACCCCCAGGGCAGAATAAAAAGGTCTGGGTGGGAAAAGCAGCTCATGGGACGAGTGTGTTTGTAGGGAGGCAGCACTGCCCTTCAGGAGCAGGGTGCCAAGGACCTAAATGCACATTGCACCAGTCTGTGAGCTCTCATCCCAGATTTCTGCAATCCCATTAACAGATCACCATTACAGATGTCAGTCTGAGCACTGCTGGGCTTGGATTCGGGAAGGAACTGCACAAGGAAACAGTCTGGCTTTGGGGGTGTGGATGCTTTCACACTCTTTCTGGCAAGAGCACAGAAAAAAAGCTTAGTAGTGATCAGGACTGATGCTGAACAGAGGGTGGAAAAAGAGCATAGGTCCCCTCAGCTCCTGACTCCATGGAATTTGTCTCAGGAGTAACATAAAATTTGACCTTTAAAGGGAGAGGAAATAAGAGGCTTTTAAAGTTGCATGGTTTGGCAGTTTGTCTTTCCCGCTGGAAACGCAGGTCCTGTCTGTTCTGTAAGATATTATGAGGGCTGGAATGGGAGCCCAAAACTTTTCCCATACTGCTGCAAGGGGTAAGACCATTACCCCTGCCCTGGAAAGGGGCCTGAGTGCTTTTCTAGGCTGCTGTTTGCAGGGAGTGAGGCAAACTAGTGAAACAACATTAGTGTGAAATGTTGTTCCAAAACATCCTCAAACCACAGTTCATTAATTACTAATGAGCATACCACAGTCCATTCCTGCTGTGGTTGGAGGACAGGGCCACCAGGCTGCAGGGAACCTCAGCCCTATTTCAGAGGGGTCTGTCCCTCAGCTGTGCCAGCCACAGGGCTGGGGAAAGCAGGAGATTAAATGCAGGTTGAAAAAATGCTGTGACCCTCATCATAGCTTAGGTTTCAGATGAACACGTAGCACAAATAAAAGAAGATTCATTGATCTCTTCACATTATCTGAGGTGGGCGAGATGCCAAAATCAATAGGAACAAATAGATCCCCAGCTGCTTCCTATTCTAAACAGGTGAAGGGAAACCTTACCAGCCTAATATAGAGCACATCAAACCACTCTCCTCTGATGATTAAGTGAGAAGGACAAAACACAGGCGTTTAAGCAGGGCTGGTGGCACACGTCAACTCTTTCCACCAAGCAGCTGGGAAAGCTCCTACCCACGTTCAAGCCAGTCCCCCTCCATGCCAGCTGGTGGTGAGAAGCAGCAGGTGAAGTCTCCAGACTGGTAGCAGGGAGTACCTATCTGTGAGATTGCCTTTCGGAAGGTGCCCGAGACACGGTGGCAAGTGCTGCCGTCCCCTCCACACACCCTGCATCTGTCCATGGTCCGGGCCGAGTACAGGCTCCCATCGCACCCAACTGGCTGCAAAGCACAAAACAAGAGAGGGTTTCCTGGGCCAGCTTATCTCCACTGGGGCAGGGTCTTCCCCTGTGTGCTCTTCTGGGGGGTTGTAATGAATGAATCCAATGTGAGGCCTCTGTTTCAATTCCCCTCGGCTTTGTGCTGACCAGGAGGTCCAGCCATGCAAGTGAAATCCCAATTTCTCTACTGCTTCCTGCCAGGGCCTCACCTCACACTTCCCATTGATGCAGACCCCTTGGTAGGTCCTGTCCTTGCAGGAGGTCCCATCCTGTGCTCGGGCCATCAGCTGCCTCTCTCCACTGCGGGTGGTGCACTGCAGGTCACAGGGCTTGTTGGAGATGCTGGTGTAGTCATCTGCAGGGACAGAGGCACAGGGTCACCAGGCAGCTCAAGGGGGACCTTCCCCTTGTCCCTGCTGATGGTTTGATGCCACCCTGGATGTTCCTGCCACTTGCAAGGACACCCCAAGGCCACGGATTTTACAGCAGCGAAGGGGTCACAGTGTGAGGCTGCACTGGGGACTGTGCCAAGCAGAAATATTTCCTGCTGGCAAACCCTCTTCCTGCCATGCCCTTGTAGTGCCATCACTGTGCCCAACATGGGAATGTGCACCAGCAGATCCCAGGCCACACATAAATGCACATAAAAGAATAAAACCAGGGTTGTTAGAGGGGCACTGACTGTGTGGGCTGGTGGCCAGCTCTGCCCTGTTCACCTGAGCAGCTGCAGATGTTCCATGTCCCCTTGGCAGCTAATGGAAAAACAGGTGAGTCCAGAAACAGGGTAATATCTCAGGTGAACTCAGTCTGGGCCTCAAGGGCCAACTGGACACCCATGTGAAGTCACTGTGTGGGAAATGGATGAGCAACCTGTTCAGAGCAACCCAGAGCATCCATCCCTTGTCCCCTTGGACTTTACTTTTCTGTGCCCAAGAAGATCCTGTGGGTGTTTTCTAACCCTCACCCCTGGTGTGAAGTTATGAAACCCACCTGGATAGAGGGGCATCCAGTGGTAATAGTGCTTCCCAAAGGCTTTGGCATTGAAGCTGGAGCACTGCTGCTGCTTGAAGCTTGCTGTGTTGGCTGGGCAGGGCTATGGAGGGAATAAATGCAATCAAAAAGCTCCCTATCTATCTCACAGCCATTCTTGTGACAGCTGCTCCATCCTTGCAGGATGAAAATGCCCTGTCTGCCCTGGAAGGAAGTGGTGATGGGCTTGGAGGTCCCCTAAGAGAGGCAGAAAGGCCAGGCCTTCATTGCCAAGGGCCTCTCAAACAGCTGCATTTAACAGCCCTGCAAAAATTCCTCCCAGCAATGGGAAAAGCAGCAACAAGAAAAGCACACTGGAAAAACTTCATCCCTCCCCTCACCCAACAACAAATATGCTTTTACATCCTTTTGTCCCATCTCCCAGTCCCAAAGAACAGAGCCCATCTCCCACATCCTCAAAGACACACCATCCACCACCCCAGGAGAGGATCATATCCCTTCTCTCCATCCTGAGGGACCAATCCCATCCCCAGTGCTGGTGATTTTGCAGCCCCAAGTAGGACCCCCTGAGTCCCACACCCCCAGTAAGGACCAGGCAGGACTGGAAGTGGTTCCCACCTGCTGCTGGCACAGTTGGTAGTGCTTGGCTTGACCAACACACATGGTGCTGTTTGTTCCCTGGGGCATCTGGAGCCTGAAAAGCAGAAGTTTCCTGACATGAGCTGGAGGTCTGTGAATACCCAGGCACTGAGGATGACACAGGAGTCAGGCCTGACTTAAGTGGGAGGAACAAGGCAAGTGTTTCACCAGAACTTTCTGGATCTAGACTGGCCAACATCTCCTCTGAAACACATCTTCAGTGCTTTAAGGGGGGATGTGACTTTAGGCTGGGCTTGTTTTGGGGTAGGTTGAGCAGACAGGGAGCAATTGCAGTATTGGCACCCCTGTGTCCTTCAGCTCTGAGCTCCAGAAGGGCTGATGTGACCAAAAGACAATAGAACCTGATGGTCCATCCCTCCTATGGATGTGCCCAGGACTTGCAGTGACTGGGGGAGGTGATTTCAGAATCCAGTGTGCAACAGGCAGAGAGTCTGTGCACAGAATCCACTAATCCACTGTGCAATAGCCAGGGGTACTGGCCACCCCAACAGATGATCAGAGAAGGCTTGGTACAGGTGATGAGCCATAACCATAGGAATTTCTCAACACTGGAATCTTTCACTCTGGCCATTGTGAGCTCTCCAGGAGATACTGATGCAAAGACAGAAATAATTCTTGAAAGCTGTGCAGATATATGGAGAGTGGCTGAGAGCACAGGTTAAGGCAATGCTGTAATGATATGCAAAATAATTTAGGCAGTGTGTAAAGACCTGCAGCAGACAATGTGTGAATAGCATTGGGAACTGAGGCTACAAGAACACCACAAGCAGATTCAGGCTGGCCTGGCTGGAGGTCCAGCAGCTGTCCCTCCAAAGCAGTGCTTTACATGACACAGGCAGAGCCTGAATTTGCAGGATGACCTCAAAAGTGCTATGCCTGTCAGAAGCAGAAGCTTCCTGCAGATTCAGGCAGAAATTATTTTGTGGCCCTACCTGGCTCACACTTAAGCCATTCACCTTAAAGCTGCAAAAACCTTTGGGCTGGGATTTCTCTTTTTTTTTTTTTTTTTAATTAAATTTGATCCCTGGACTAAAACACCACAGCAAGCCCTTCCCTCCCCAGCTGTGAAGTCAAGGATAGAGCTGGCATCACATGGAGAGAAAAATCTCTCATCTGGAGGCAGGCAAAGGGCAGAAGGGCTGCTCTGGCTGTAGGGGTGCAGGACAGCCCCAGGCTCCCTCGCTGTGCTGTTCCCCACTGCTTTCCCAGGGTGCTGGAGAGGAGCAGCAGCAGCAGAGACATCCAGAGGGAAGGTCCCACAGCACATCTGCACCTTCACCATGCTGCCAGCCAGCTCACCAAAAAGGAGTTTTCTGCTGCAGGAGGGAGGGCAGGCTGGGGGCCCTGGTCTGAGTTGCTCTGCTCAGGAGTGCATTCACGCAGAAGGGAAAGCTGGCTGTGCTGCAGGGTGCCTGCTCTCATTAACAGCCACAGCCTGGGCAGCAGGGCACAGAGCTGCCAGAGGACCAGCAGGAGGAGGGGGAGTTGGTGGCAAGGTAGCCCAGAGGAGAGCAGAAGTTCAGGCAGCTGCAGTTCCCCTGCTCTCCCCACTCCCACTGATCCCAGCACTGTTACAGCTGCAGGGGACAAATGCAGATGCTTCCAGGTGACAGCCAGATAAATGACAGAGGGGACAAATCTTGCCAGCTCTGCAGGGAATAAAGAGGGGAAATTGCTGAGATGTGGCTGAGCTGGCTGCTGCCAGCAGTAAATAAGTCCCCATAAGGTGTCTGGCAGTGTGTGCCCACAGCCTGAGCACAGGAACTGGCCACAGCAGCCATGGCAGTGAAGGTTTGTGAGGGAAAAGAGAAGAGGAACAGAGCCAGCCCATAATTCTGTCATCTTCAGGACTCCAACAGAGGAGCAGCCCCTTGCTCCCCATCAGATAAGCCAAGCTGAGTGGGTGCCATAGGCAGCCTGTCACCTGCCCACTGCAGCGTGCTCCTGCTGTCCCCACTGCCCACACACAGCAGCTGCCGTCCTTTCCCAGGGGCCACAGAGGAGGGAATGGCTGGCCCTGCAAGCCCAGGGGGTTCAGCCCCCCAGCACAGCTCTGGGGCGCCCCACTGCCCTGGCCATGGCCCCAGCTCACCTCTGTGTGAGGCAGTGCCTCTCGCGGGACGCGACTCCCCCTCCGCAGGAGCGCGAGCACGTGGACCAGGAGCTCCACTCTCCCCACCACTTGGTGACCTCTTCATCCCAGCTGCCAGCTCCATCTGCTGCCTCACTGCTGTCCTGACAGAAACAGAGCATTGTTAGCTGGAGCACCTGGCACCCCTCACCACCAAAGGCAGCTGTGCTGTCACCTGGGCGCCCCCTGAGGAACCAGCAGTGGGACAAACTCAGGGTCTGAGTCCTGTGGGGCCACACCAGGATCTCAAAATTAAAACTTCCCTCCAGGACTGAGTCCTGCATGGGAAGCAGGATGCCTTGGGGTCTCATGGGATGGAGAAGAGCTGTAGGGCTGGACATGTGTGGCAGAAACAGCAGCTGCAGCCTGGCCCCACAGCATCACTCCCAGCACAGCTCACACCTGGCTCAGGAGAGAAGAGGAAGAGCCGCAGGTCTTGGCCATGCAGGGAAGCTGGGAGAACACAGGTGTCAATCCTCAGAGCTGCATTTCCATGAAGAACCTTCCCTTTGTGACTAAAGCAACTCAGATCCAGCTCCTCATCCTCCAGTCATTTTCAAGGGAGCTTCAGAAGCAGAGCCTCTCCCCACGAACCCCACTACGTTCAGAGAAGGAATGCTCCCTCTCCCAGCACACCTTGCTGGGTCTCAGCCTTTAAATTTGGCAGACCTCTGGCCCCAGCAGGGTCCTTGCAGTGGGCTGCTGTTGGCTGTGCCCCCACAATTCCCAGGAGGTAAGCAATTCCGTGGTTTAGTTGGGTTTTTTCCTGGCAGTATTTTCCTGTTTAGTGTCTGATGGTCTAAAAGCTCCCAGGGACTTTGGCAAACTTGCCTGTGCAAGAACTAAACTGCTGTTTGGTGAAACACAGCTGTGAGTAGTGTTGAGTGCAGCCCTGAGTTTAACACAGGACAGTGACTGGAAGGGATTCATCCAGCTAAAATGCCAAGTGTTTAAATATTAATGGACAAAAATTAATACTCAGTGTGTGTGAAGTGTGCTTTCTTAAAGCAAGGGCTCAGGGAAGTTGTATCAGTGCTGCTGTTAGCAAAACATGCTGGGTTTAGTTGGTTCTGCTGTAAACAACCCTCTGCAAAGCAGAACTGATGGACGGGAGAGAAAACTCTGCAGGGTTTGCTCATCTCCAAATGTGCTCTGCTCACTGCTTGGGCTGTCTCTTGGTTTTTATGCTCTTTCAGGGTGTAATAAAGCCAAAGTGCTCTTCTTTTTGTGGTGTAATTCCTGCCTGAGAACTTGTGTTTGCTCAGAGCCTGCCAGCAGAGCAGCCTCTGGGCAGAGGAGATGCAGCTGCTTTATGCAAATAGTTTTAAGTTGTAATTTAAATGGTTGAAATGTGCACAGTGCCTCTTTCTGATGGCCAACTGCTGCAGAAAAGCACTGTGTCACCTGATGCTTTGCTCTCTAGTGATTGCAATGGCTGATTTCAAAAACAAGATAACAAAACTCTTTGTTGTACTTCAGTGTTCTGGCTGGAGCTGACAGGGACCAAATGCTGTGGCCAGCAGCTGAGCTGCTCATTAGGAAAGTGAAATTAAAAGAAACAGACATGTTTTCAAAAATACCTTTTTCTGTTCTTCCAAACTATCATCTTAAACAATTTCCTATGAGAATTTTTGTCTCGCTGTGTATTATCAGACTGTAAATGGAAATTCTGACCATGCAGCTTCCACACTTAGAAAGGAAATCAACCAAAAGTCTCTCACTGTGAGGGATTTTCAGCTAAAATCTTCCCCTGACCACTCCTATGCTGCTTTGTGACACATATTTCAAGGCTGGGGTGGAAGAGCTCTTCACAGCTGTCGGGAAGGAGAATTCCAGTGATTTATCTGGTGGCTGAGTGGAGAGCTCAGCACAAAATTGATTCTCCCATAGCTGGAGGAAAAACCAAAGCTGGTGTCTCAGCCCTTCCATGAGGCACATGGGCTGCCTGGACAGCAGATAAAACCATGAGACTGAGAGAAGATAAAAGCAGGAGTAGCTGTAACCTACAAGGCAGTCCTGCCCTGAGAATGTTGTGATCCCAACAGGTGAGAAGGGGCAGGAGGAGAACAGGTGAAGTGAAATAATCTGCTCTGCTGATCTACCCCAGACACAAGGCAGGGTTTGTGTGTGTGGAATGGTGAGAAGCTGCAGGCTCCTTTCCAGGGTTCCTGCTCTTGGGGTGCTGTGCCTGGGTGCAAGGAGATCAGGGATGTGGGGGCACAGCTGAGGTTTGGGGGAGGTCAGCTTCCCTGCCTTTGTGAGCTGCTTTCTGTGAGAAATAGGATAGGACACATCTCTGCACTGCACCTCAGTGACAGGATGAAGATTTATTGGAAGATGCTGGTCAGGGAGATTTGTTCTTTTAATAGAAAGTGTTCTCCCATATCCATAATCCGTGCTCCTGCTTCCTCTCCGTGCTGGAGGAATCAATCACTTTTTAAGTAGATTGATTTGGCTCTCAGGTTTTCCATGACCAAGCTCCCTTGCCAGACCTTCCCTGGGAGCATTTATTTTCTTGTGTAAGCAAGGACAATGCTAAGCTGTCCCCTTGGCCATGTCCCTTATGGCTTGACTGCATCAGAGTCCTAGGCCTGGACTAGGAGTGGGAATTTCAGGTACTGGGGCAGCTGGTTCCAATCTGTGCTGAATTTATTGTATTGTCAGAAATAAGTCTGCATTGACCACAGCACACAAATGGTTCTTGTTTTTAATTGAAGATATATGCATTTTCCAAAAGTCGAGATAATAAATTGAGGGCTGTGGGACAGACTCCAGATTAGATTAACTCCTAGCTTGAGTTTCCCAAGCCTCTCATTTGTACAGAATTCACTCATCCCAGGAGTGAATTCTGGACAAATGAACCCCCCTACCCACCTACTCCTCACAGAGGAAGAAATAAAAGGGGCTGAATTTTAAACTGTTTTGCACTGTCCTGGTTATGGGAGATGCTGGAGCTGTTCTAATTTGCACTCTGCTGCAGAATCATGGAAAAGGAGCAGGCTAGAAACACCAGAGCACAGGAGATGCACAGGGCTCTGCCTAAAGGAGACATGATTGCTTAGGTGATGGGAATTTCCATCCCTAGAACAGACAGACCATATTCCAGCTCAGCCAGGTGCTCCCCACAAGAATTCCCCCGAGGTTCCTGTGCTTTGGCACCTGGTGGTTGCAGAGCTGCAGCTTTTCCTCTCTGAGGCTGACCAAGGAATTCCTGTGCCTGCACACCTGAGCTGAAGGCCATGGCAGGGCTGCCCTGGGAACCCCAACCTGCAGGGAATTTTCCAGGATAAAATGCCTCTCTCCATTCTTGCCAGTGTCACAGGAACACCATTCTCCAAGCTACTGAAAGCTCTTTCTGCCCAAGCCAAGGCCCAGCAGCTGCTTCCCCTCTCCCCCCTGCCAAACAAAGGCCGCCACAAGCAACAAATGCTCCAGCCCTGCACACAAGGGTGGGCCTGGCCTGACATCCTATCGGATTTCCAGGCGGCCTTTCTGAAGTTTAAAGGGATAAAATAAATTCTCCACTGCCTCTCTGTCATGCCCTGGATGAGCTCAGAGCTGCTCTGGCTTTCCTAGAGACCTGGGAATGGCTGCAATTACCAGTCCCCCGTGTTGCTTATTGTTGTGCCTAATCTTGAGATTCATTAGAGCCTGGAAAAAAAGCTGTCTGGGAAGAGAGACCACAAACATGCCTCCTTAATAGAGGAGCTGGGGGAAAAGCTCTCTCTGCAGCCTTGAGGGCTGGGCCACCACTGAAGGGCACAGTAGCTGTCGTAAAATGTTCTGCTCAGCCCTGTCTGAGCGTGTAGGACAACTCAAAACAGCAGCTGAAAATGAAATAAATTCTTCCCAGACCTTTTCTGGGGCTGTTAACTCTATGTCCTCTACCAGAAATTTCCACAATCCCTTTACTGAAGGGCTTCTCTCTACAGCAAACCACACCACTTAGTGAAATACTAAGTAGCTTCAGATGTCTGAATGCCTGGAATGAATGGCAGATTATTATCTGGGAATGAATGACCATGTTCAACACCCCTGGTTTGGGTTCCCCATCTCATTCTCTGACTAAAGCTGTGGTGATACACTCCACCAGAGCCCTGAGAAAAAAACAATAGCAGTTGCAATTATGTTGGGGTTTGTATAAAGCTATTTCTCAGCCTGTCATTGTTTTACACTATTTGTGTAGACTAAATAGTCTGTGTGAGAGATGCAATACTGGAAGCAGACACAAACCCAAATTTTCCCTAGAAAAGCTGAAATAAGGTATCTGAGGAGTTTTTCGTGGGGACAGGTATCTGAGGTAAAACAAGCAATGCAGAATAATTTTTAAGGGATCAGGAAGAACAGTAATCTGTGGGAAAATGGAAGCTTGTTAAGGATGTGGAATTGCAGCAGATAAGTAACAAAAATCTGGCCATGGAATGAGGCACAGATGAAAAGCAAATTAGAAAACCAGTGAACAGAAGTCAGTGGAGAAACTACCAAGTTCTGTTCATAATCCTGCCATGGCAGAAAGTTCACAGGCAAGTGCTGCACATCATTGCAGAACACTGGGTCCAAGTCAGGTCATTCCCTGCAAGCAGGACAACGCTGTTATCCTGGGGCAAGCTGCTAGAAAGGATGGAAAACTGGGCAGGGAGAGGAGGGAGTGAACATGAGACACGTCTATCACCAGGTTCTGCAGAGGCATTGAATGGAGTTAGGAAGGAAGTTGGTTCGGAAGCTGCTTGCCCAAACTGTGGATTGATGTTTTCTGACGCTCTTTGTAAAATGTTTTATATGGACAAAGGGAGGGCAGGAGGAACCACAGGTTAGTCCCCCAGTGAGCATTTTGTGTGCTGCCTTGTAGTAGAGACCCACAACAATCAGTACCAGCCACCGGGACAATTCACAGCACATCATCTGTGATCAGAGTGCTCCGTGGGGAGCAAGGGAATCTTTCAAGATAGAGCTGGTGTGTGTTTATCCCGGGGAGCCCTCCTCCCACCTGGGGATGCCCTTGTGCAAACACAGCTGCTGGGGCAGGAGGGCACACGTGTTGATGGAGGAATCCGTCCCGGTCGGTCCCGAATGAAGGATTTCACATCTGTTTAGCCTGACCTGG